GATCTTGTTATGTTTTCAGTTAAACAATCAAATCTTCATCATTTTTCTCTTATTTCATTGGTTAGATCATGAAGTGCAATGCTAGCTAGCCTTACTATGTCACACTAATGACACTTGGTTGAGTTTTTTTTTTCTTCTGTGAATGAAACTCTGTCTCTAATAGACTATTAACCTCATTTGAACCTATTTTCATAAGTGAAATGTTTACTTTTCTTAGCTTATTTTCAGGCATTTTTTTCTTGTATGCTTGCTCTAATTTTTCTGTTTTCAGCCTTTTCTCTCCATGCTATATTTATTTTTTTTAATTTTCTGATCCATTGAAATGAATATGCTGAGTTTAGTCTACTGATGATTATTATTTATATGTTTGGATAAGTATTCTCTAATAAGTCACATCTAAATGAAATATTTCTTGAATCTTTCCGTACATAGGTTCATAGTTTTATTTCTTCCATCTCTCCCCTATCAGTTCAAAATGATATAAATTGTTGTTTTAAACATCAATAATTATTTTAAGGATTGCATTATATGTTATGTACATTTTCAAGAATTATTCTTGGTTATTCTTTTCTCCTTTTAGTAATATTTGGATTGTATATATAAATATATATTTAAATATTTATTATAATATACTATGTATATATATACATATAGATAAAATAAATATTATTGATAGATAATATAAATATGACAGAAAGTGCATACACTTGAATGAAGGAGACAGAGAGAAAGTGCCCCCTATGGGAAATGGTCTGGCTGCTATCCCTTTTCCTCATTTCTCTCTACTTTTGGGACTTGGGGTATACATGTACAAATGCCCAGAATATTCTTCAAGCCTTCTTGTCCAGGACTTGAACTATGCAGTGGGCCATGTGGAATCTAACTGCTTAAGCCATTTGATATTAAATACATATTGGGTTGTCAGAAAATTCATGATGTATTTTTCTATGTTTTTCTATGCAAAAGTGGGTCATAGCTTTTCTCATGACTCAATATATTACTATCTGATTTTTCAGAGCATATTATTTTAATAATATAACTTCCTCAATCTTGAATTATGTATTCTGATTAATTTCCCAGCACCCAAGAATATTTGCTAGAAGATTGTTTTTATTCTATTTAGAATGTTGTATTTCCTAAGATCTGAGAAATTCAAGAAAGCCTTTCCATTGCTTTTGAACATATATAACTAAGACCTGGGTATAGACTTCTTTCACAACTTTTTTTTTCTTGAAACTCCGTATGTAGATATTTTTCTATTATCTCTTGAATGGTTGTACTAAAGTTGTAGTTCAACCTGAAAGTACTTAATTTATTGATAGTTTTCCCTCCCCAGATGTTTACAAATCTTTCTTATTCTTCTAATTGTTCTAATGCATGATTCAGTTTCATCATTGCATTTTTAGTTTCCTCAACTAAGGAACAACAGTTCCTTATTGTCTTATCTCAGAAAGTTCCACTTCAGTTTTAACTGGACCCTGTTTAGTTCCTTTTCATTTAGATTTGTCCCAGTCTAGGTTCCTGGCTGATAATCTAGAGAAAGTATTTGAATGAGAGAAAATATATAAAGAGTATATATCAGAAAGGACTTGGATAAAAGATGTTGCCTAGTTTTATATGGAATCAGAATAACTGGATGTAGGTCTGCCATGAGAGCTGAGAACTAGTGATTTCAGAGATAAGGTAATAAAGATGTTTTGCTGAGAATTTACCTTGGCAAACACAGAGGGCAAGCCAGAAGAAGATTGAGTCTGCCATGAGAGCTGAGATCTAGTGATTTAAGAGATAAGGCAATGAAGATGTTCTGCAGAGAATTTACCCTGTAGAATTTGGCAATGCCAAGGAATTTGCAGACCACATCCTCCTGTGCACCTCTGACCACTCAGAGTGATCTTCTACAAATTAGGAAGAAATTAATAACCCATCAGATGACTAGAAATCACCACAGGGGCACAAGAAACATGTGAAACCAAGAAAATACCTCACCCACAAGAGAAAAGAATAACTCCTATTCATCCACAGACAGTACAATAGAATCATGGAAATGTCTGATAAAGAATTTAGAATATTCGTAGCAACAAAACTAACATAGATGGAAAAGAAGAGAGACAATGAATATCAGAAGAAAAAAAACCGATGAGTTCCAGGAGGTGAGGAAGTTCTTGCGAGAGCTGAAAGAGAAAATACACACTATAAAAAAGAATCAAATGGACCTGTTAGAGATGACTATAATACAGGAAGTCAAAAATCTCCCTTGCAAGTATTAAAAGCAGACTAGATCATACAGAAAATCGAATCTCAGATGTAGAAGATAGAATGGTTGGCCTAGAAAAATCCACCATGAAGACTGAGAAAATTGCCACCAAAAAAATGAGAATAATATACGAGAAATACTAGATACCATCAAACGTCCAAACATCCATACAAGTGGTATCCCAGAAGGCAAAGAGACTCATAAGGGTATTGATGATCTATTCCATGAAACCCTGCAAGAAAACTTTACAAAACAAGAGAGGCACTCAAAGATCCAGTCCCAAGAAATACAAAGGACCCCAAGTAGAATCAACCCAAGAAGATCTTCTCCAAGACACATTATAGCCACATTGATCAAAACCACAGACAAAGAAAAGATACTAAGATTGGCAAGAGAAAAACGTCAAGTTACAAAGGATATCCCATCAGATTAACAGCAGACCTCTCATCAGAAACAATGCAAGGAAGGAAAGAATGGGAAAATACATTCAAAGTGTTGAGTAAAAAACGATTTTAACCAAGAATAGTATATCCAGCAAGTTATCCTTCATATGGGAAGAGAAGACAAGAACATTCTCAGATAAACAAAACCTAAAAGAATTTACCAACACTAGACCAGCTCTCTAAGAAGTTCTGAAGGGACTGCTATCCCAGGAAAACTAAAGTCAGACACACAGAAATAAGAGTTCTAAAACAACTAAGAAAATGGCCAGCTTAATGGTGGGGACAAGTTCAAAGTTGAATGTTATCTTTCAGAATTTAAACAAAAAGATCGGACCACAACAAAAGATAAAGTACATGAGTTTGAACTAGTGAAATAGAATTTTGGCTTTTGGCTAAAACATTACTGACCTTCTATGCCTTGTTTTCCAGTGTTAAGGAATTTTGTCTTCTCTCGAGTTGTGGACAGGTCCATGTACCTACAATTTGAACAGAATCCTAACCTGTTTCCTGGCTTTAAGTATTAAGCAAAGTTCTCTTAATATTTTTTGATTTTGATTTATTAAAGCTAAAACTTCCTTTCTTGAAATTAAAAAATGTATTTAAAAATACCTGTTTAGTAACCACAGTAAACTATATAGCCTCAGCTATGTGCTATTTTATAGTATATTCATTCTACCCACAGTTTCATGCCTTAAGTCAATTTTTGTTCACAGATATGTATATATCAGCTGAACTTACTATTGAAAGTATTTAGATTAACTAAGATATTTTGTGAATCAATACCATGTGGGAAAGAATAAAGGAATGGAAAGCAACTGCAGAAACCAGAGACAGGGTGGGAGGAGGGTGGGAAATGGCAGAGGGTGAGAAATAGGGGGAAAAATATATATGCAAGAAATGGAAAATTATTTGTTGATGATAATATGTATGATTAAGGCACTTTACAGTGTATTCTGGCTGAAAAAATCGTATTTTGTATGCTGTGGTGATTTCAGTGAAAGTATGTAAAATAAATAAAGAAAAACATTAAATCAGAAAAAATATGATAATCTGAAAAACATTTAAAAACATAAAAATAATACTTAGATGTAAAGTAAACAATTCATGAAATACTTATAACCATGAAAAAAGAAATCGTAAAGCAATGGAAAGAGCAGAGTGTTGCTACACAGCATAACATTTTCAGATGTGATGTTAGTGCCAGTTACAGTAAAGTACATACTTTGTCATTACATATATAAGTTGAAATGTAAACTAATCTGTAATGATAAAAGTCAAAAGAGTGGTTATTTTGTGAAGAGTAAAGATTGAAAGGTGACATGAAGAATGCTTGTAGGTTACTAAAAGTGTTTGTTTTCTTAATCTTGGCAGTGGTTATACTAATGTATTTACTGTATAAAAAAAGTAAATTAAGCTGTGTCTCTCTGTGAGTTACATTTAAGTAAGAACATGTACCGGGAAAAGTAAACAACACATCCATTTTCCTAATTTTAAAAATGCATATGACAATACAACTCTTTAATTAAATACAACCAAAGTATTAGCTCTTGTCTACTGCATTTAAAATAATAGACTTTGAAAGAAGACATTTTGGGACCAATAGATGGCATAATGGTTAAGGCACTGAACTCCCACATAGCCCATGATTTAAGTCCTGGACCTGGTGTCTTGACACACACCAGCTGTGTGCGTACATGTGCCCAAAAATCCCAGGAGAAGAATGGAAGAGATTGCAGTGTGGCCATCCCCCTGGTGGGTGATTTCTCACTTTCCCTCTCACTGTCTCTGTCTTTCTCTAGTGAATGCACACACCCTATGACAAAAATCTTAAAGAGGGGGGAAGGTCATCACAAACATCTACTTGTGTTGTTACCAAGAACTTCTACAGATGAGTATAGTTCCATTCATAATGGTTTCCAAGGAAAAGCATACCAGACCCTCTATGGTGAATTAATTCCCAAACATTGTGATTGGAAACTGGATACCAAATAGGTACAGTCGTGTGTTGCATAATGATGTTTCAGTCAATAACCGATCACACGTATCAGGTGATTTCAAAAGGAGTGTAGAGGCTATACCATGTAGGTTTGCGTAAGCCCCTTCCATGATGTTTGCTCAAGACCAAAATTTTTAACAGGTGCCTTTCTCAGAACATAGTCCCATCATTAAGTAATGCATGATTGTAATTTCAAATCAAAAATCAAATTTAAAACCCCTACTTTAGTTCAAGCAATAAAGCAACTAAGCTACTGAGGCACATACATCCTTTTTTTTTTTTTTTTTTTTTTTTTTTTGCAGAAGACATGTTTTCTTGGAATCTTGTCCTCAACCAGTCTGGCCCCACTGAGTTTGTGTTCCATGTGTTCACTGCTGTTCCTGAATTCCAGGTCCTTCTCTTCCTTCTCTTCCTCCTCCTCTACCTGATGATCCTGTGTGGCAACACAGCCATCATCTGGGTGGTGTGCACAAATAGCTCCCTCCGCACTCCAATGTATTTCTTCCTGTCCAGCCTGTCTTTTCTGGAGATCTGCTACACCACCGTCGTGGTGCCCTTGATGCTTTCCAACATCTGGGGGTCTCAGACGCCCATTCCACTGACTGGATGCGGGGCCCAAATGTTCTTCTTTGTCACCCTTGGCAGCACGGACTGCTTTCTGTTGGCAATCATGGCGTACGATCGCTACGTGGCCATCTGCCACCCCCTGCACTACACCCTCATCATGACGCAGAAGCTGTGCATCCAGATGGTGGCGGGTGCCGTGGGCCTGGCCCTCTTCCTCTCCCTGCAGCTTACCGCCTTAATCTTCACCTTGCCCTTCTGTGGGCACCGCCGGGAAATCAACCACTTCCTCTGTGATGTGCCTCCAGTCTTGCGCCTGGCCTGTGCTGACATCCGCGTGCACCAGGCTGTGCTCTACGTCGTGGGCATCCTCGTTCTCACCGTCCCCTTCTTGCTTATCTGTGTCTCCTACACGTTCATCGCCTCCACCATCCTGCGCATTAGGTCAGCCGAGGGCCGCCGGCGGGCCTTCTCCACATGCTCCTCCCACCTCACTGTGGTCTTGCTGCAGTATGGCTGTTGCAGCCTGGTCTACCTTCGACCCCGGTCCAGCACCTCAGAGGATGAGGATCGACAAATCGCCTTGGTCTACACCTTTGTCACCCCATTACTCAACCCTTTGATTTACACCCTTAGGAACAAGGATGTCAAAGGTGCTCTGAAGAACGCCATCATCAGTAAAGCAGCCTCTGACACAATTTGAAAGTTTAGGGACTCTGGGGTGGATTTCTGTCACTTCAATGTCAAAAAATTCTAAGTGACAAACAGAATTATAATATTTACTTTCCCACACTTAGCACTTAGTATTTTTTTTACCATATTTGCCTATGTCCATAACTTGCACTCATTGTCCTGAAGTGATTTGAATAAGATTTGAAAATTTAGGAGCAGCTATGTGGTGTAATGGCTAAGGCAACTGAATTCCACGTAGCCAACTGGTCGGTCTCAGAACAGACTGGGGCTTGAAGAACACACAGTGTGCATGTACCAGCATACCTGAAATCCCAGAAGGAGAAGGAGAAAAGATTGTAGCATGTTCATTCTCCCTGGGAGATGCTTTCTCTCTTTCTCTATCAAATGCATGGGCCCCCTTGAAAATTATTCAAAGAAAGAAAGAAAAGAGAAAATTTGGGCTAAATTTCCAATGTAGGAGCTCTAGTTTATTTCAACCAACTTTAAAGAATCTCAGCTCACCGAGATAATTACTCCATCAGGAACCTTCATACATGCTTTGAATAAAGGTCAATACCTTAACATATGCTGTGTCTCACAGAGGTAATGATATTAATGTATGTTATGAATGATGCCTTAGATAAGGAATATTTATGAAAATCATAAATTTTACTTACAAAATATCTTTACTGGGTGTCAGAGAATGGTAAACCATAGAGTATTTAATGCATACATGTCCTCCCCTTCACATATCTCAACTGATCATTTTCTTTCATTCTGCCCTGCCACGGAGGGGACAGGAGTTTTCATTCATTGACTGAGCACTTACTACATGCCAGCCATGCTATAGTATCAAAAGCTATGTCCATTTGATGCCAGCACTGCTTGCATGAGCCTGGCACTCAACCTACCTAGTCTGAGGTTCCACCTCCTCTGCCCTCATAATGGCTGCTGCCCAAAGATCCAGCAGGTGGCGCTACTGCTTCTCCCAGTGTAGCCCATCTTGTGGCAGAATGAATGTTAACATCTTCGTGTTCCTGTGGCTCAACTCCAGAAAAATGCCCAGGTAGAATTTTCTTCCCTCTCTGGTGTTGACAGCAAACACCGTGCTGCTCAACCTTTTCATTGCACGGTGAGAAACAACGAAGTGAGGAGGGCTCTAAGGACACTTCTCACCAGAAATTATCTCTCTCAGAGCAGCAAAGGCTATGTGTAACCTATCAGACCAGGGTCTGAATCTAGCCTACAACCTAACTTTAGTTAGCAATGCCAAGAAGAGACTGAGAGTACCTGCCAGTGGATAGTAAAACTGACCTAAGAAATTGGCATAACTTTCTGTACGTCATATGGCTAAGTTTACCAAAGGCCTTGACCAATTTCTATTCCTTGATTCCTTAGGAATATTCTAAAAATATAACCTTAGAGGGACCAGCAGTTAGTGTAATGGCTATGTCACTGGACTCCCATGTAGTCGACTGTGGTTCGAGTCTTGGACCTGGTGGCTTAAACTCACGCTGCGTGCTTGTGTGTGCGTGCCCAAGATCCCGAGAGGAGAATGCAGGAGAAGGGATTGCAGCATGGCCATCCCCCTTGGGGGATGATTTCTCGCTTTCTCTCTCTCTGTCTCTCTCTGTCTTTCTGGCAAGCACACGCACCCTATAGCGAAAACCTCTCCAAAAAAGGAAAAAATATATATAACCTTAGAAACTTAAGAGAGTTAAACAAAACTGAAAATGTAAGGATTTATAAAATTTATATAAATTATAAAATTTATAAAAATAATAAAATTTATAAAATGAGCAGTGATTAAAATCTAATTACCAACAATATTGAATATAAAAATACAGCAGACTTAAACTCATATTTTATACAAAATTTAATAATAAAGAAAAATGCTTATCATACCTATAAGTGATAAAATTAAACTCATATTTATAATGAGTGTCCAATTTTGTAAAATATATATGCATGATGAGGAATAGAAGACCAAAAAGTTAATAGTTTTTAATCTGTTACTTGTAAAATTTTGGATTTTAACATTCCACTTTACTCATTTATGCATTTTTCATGTTTTCTAAAATAAAACTATGTTCTTATAATCAGAAAACTGATGATTTCTAAAAGGCACCCGAGATTCATGTAGATTTATTTGGCACATAAATCTCCCATCATCACAGCTCAGATCTGTTTTTCATACTTTTCACAGATTAGGACTTTTTTTGGTTATTTCTTTTCCCCATCAAAACTGCTTTTAATTTTTTAAGCTGATTTCACATGGGGATAAGGGGAAGAACCACAAAGTGTTTCTTATTCTGGGAACACATGGATTTAACAATATATCAGAACTGCCTTTGCTTCCAAGTTAATGCTGGAAGAGAGGGATAAACTCCCCGGTTGGCAGATTGCTTATCAACCTACCCAGACCAAGTAGCATCAGAACATAATGAATCAATTATTTGTACTCTGTGCTAGACATTGCCTCTCTTGCCTACAAAAGGAAAGTTTGTAACCACATTTCCATGCTTCCTTTCATTCTTTATTTAATGTCACAAATCATACAGAACATTAACATGGAATACAAAAAGAAGAGAATGAAGTGTTACTCTGTTGAAAAGAAGGCCTTAGAAGGTTAATTAATCCTTTCAACCTGAATTACTAGTCCTTCCCAGTTACCTACTCCCCTGTGTATATGCTAAGTGAATAGATTGATCTCTTCTTCCTTCCTTCCTTTCTTCATTTGCTTTCACTTACCGTTTTTCCTGACAAGAAAAAAATAGTATGTTTAGGGACCATCAGATGGCATGGTGGTTAAGGGCACTGGAATCCTATATGGCTGATCACGGTTCAAGTCCCAGACCTGGCAGCTTGCCTTCTCACTTTCTCTCTCTCTCACTCTGTCCCTCTCTGGTCAAATTAAAATAAATAAAGTTAAATAAAATAAAATTTTAAATAGTATATGTTTTTAAAAATGTAAATATAAAAAGTATAGGTTTATGATACACAATATGATGTACTAATACATGTATACATTGTCAAATGGCTAACTCAAACTATTTAACTCATGATTTATCTCGGATACTTTTTTGCTGAGAACATAAAATCTACTTTCTTAGCAATTTTCAAATATATAAAATATTGTTATCAACTGTGATCATTACATTATACGGTGGATCTCTTAAACTTATTCCTCCTGTCTAATTTTAATTTACAACGTTTGACCAACATCGCTGTAATCTTCTGATAACCTCCTGCACTGGCATGTTTAGGAAAGCATGAGGACAGTGACCACTTGCTAAACGCATTAGCAGAAATAATGAAAGCCAGTTGTTGTACAACACAATGGAGGGAAGCCCGTGAGGGAATTTCAGAAATCTAAAGGCTAACCCTCCCATTAGAGGCCCAGAGGCCTAGGAAGACACTATGTTTTCAGAGGATGGGCCTGGGGTACTCTCTACAGGGTTGCTTTTTAGGGTTACTCTGGAACTCTTCTTACATCCCACTACAGCACTCCTCAGGCCCTGTCATAGTTCAGACAACCCCAGGTACATCTCACCTTGCCATTATGGTTGCAGTATTACCTGACACTACTGAATATGCAAACAGGAGACTTTGGTGACTTGCACATAGTGGTAATTATAAAAGCATGAGTAATACAGAAGCCATGAAACATGGAGACCTCCACCTAGATTTCAAAAGATGTTCCAGAAAACCTGAAGGCTTATGCAGAGATTTGTCACAGGGGCAGAGCAACCAAAGAGAGTCCCCACAAAAGTAATTAATACTGGAACTACAGGAGTAGTGTCACCCTCAAGACCATAGTTGAGTTACCAGCATGCAATACCAGCCTCAGAAAATTATAGTCATTAAACTCAAACTGAGAGAGTGGGAGAAAAGACTAAATCCAGAAAAACCATGGGGGCAGGCCTCCTGATGCTTTGGGGCCCCAACCCACACACCAGTGTGCCCAGAAGATAACATGTAAAGTGAAAAATACTCTTAGTTTTAAAAATTTAATATCTTCCCTATTGGATTTTCAATTTGCTGGGGGCCTTGTTACTCCTTTCTTCTTGTGGAGTGGGAATATCTGTCCCATGCTTCTCCCTTCATTGTGTTTCAGAAGCATCTAATTTGTTTTGATTTCACAGGATCACAGTTGAACCTTGGACTTCTGAGTTGATATTGGGACAAGTTAGAATTTTTGGACTACTGGGATGATTCTGCCCATAAGAAGGACCTGGATTTTGTATTTAATGTGAAGAGCAGAATGCTTGTATGGGTACTTAAAGTATAATTTCTACTGAATGTGGATTGCTTTCATACCACTGTAAAATCAGAAAATAAGCTGAACCATCATTAAGTCAGGAACCATCTGCACTCCCTTTGTTAGAGTATTTTCATTCTCATGGAATCTGAGTAGCACAGGAGATGGACCACATTTAACATAAACCTTAGACTACTTCTTGCTTTCTGTAATACCAACTATTTTCTAAACCTGCTACATCTTTTCAAGCTCTCTGAGCTAGCTGATATTAATCTTATGTGCCACCCTTTTTCACACAAAATTTTCCTACTCTTCTGGACTCAAAATAATAGCTATACTGTAAAACATGATTTCTGATTTCTTATGGGGTCACCAAAGGGCCAGACCACACAACCTGCAATTTCAGAAAAGGACAGTTCTCACGGGGTGAATATCAGGGAAGCAGAGCAGAAACAAGTGATAGAAGAAAAAAAAGCATATAAATAACTTTCCTTTTCTCCATGGACTATTCCCTGGAACGCTTTCCCTTTCCAGAGGAATCCCACATTCTCAGTGAACATATGTGATGAGTAATCTTTGGATCTGCCATGCTTATTATGAACAATGACTCTCGAAGTGATGCATTTTATTGTACTGCTTTGCTTTTGTCCCCACTTCAGTTCCTTCTATTCTATTTCTTAATTTCCTTGGGGTTTTACCTTCCAAATAATGTCAACACTTAAATTCTTGTATCTGGCTCTGCTTCCAAGAAGGCCCATACTAAGATTATA